CAAACACAGCTTATGCAAAATTTTCATCATTTAATGTTGCAGGCAGCGCTACTGAATACGTGCTGTCTGTTAGAGGGTATTCCGGGACTGCTGGAGATTCATTAACTTCTGATATATTTGGTCATAATGGGAAAAAATTTTCTGCAAGAGATAATGATAATAATAACAGTGCAGATAATTGTGCTCGAGATGTTTACCCTGGTGGCTGGTGGTTTAATGATTGCTTTATAGCACATCTTAATGGTGTATATCACCAAAATCCATCCATCAGCTATGCAAAGGGCATTGTCTGGTATAGCTGGAAAGGCTGGTTTTATTCTCTCAAGTTTACAGAGATGAAAATGATTCGTCATGCAAATTGAAGATTGTGAAGTGTGCACATTTTTAATTTTGGTAGATTTAGCCAGGCTATACAACACTCTTTAGAAAAATAGACATTTTATTTCAGTTTATATTGTTTTTGTAGAAAAGATTTTAATGTTTTTTAATCAAAAATGATCAATTATATATGCATCACTAAAACACATCAGTACATTATTACAGACAAATTAATTGTAATGGATCTAAAGGGGGTTACCAATACATTACACAGCAGTCATACACTGCTACTCCAGCAAGTCTACTACAGTCTACTGATATGCCTCTAAATTTTCTGCTTTTACCTATTTTAACTTCAAATTTGATACTTGCTCGTGGTAAGCTATTAGCTATGTATAAAATGTCAGCGAACTGCTTAGACCAAATTTAGCTTCCTTCTTGTTTACAGGTTGTATTTTTGGTGACCTAAAATTAGTGAATGGAAAGACTACCATAGGAAGATTGGAGATTTGTATTAACAATGAATGGGGCACTGTGTGTGATGATGGATGGACTCACACTAATGCTGAAGTGGTCTGCAGGCAACTAGGATACTCTACTATTGGTAGGATACTAAACTAAATGTTAATTGTAAAGCATAATTTGAGTTTTTGCATAACTTTTCTAGGTGCTCAATATTTCAATGGAAAGTATTTTGATGCTGAAAACATGTCGATATTTTTGGATGATGTTGTTTGTTTGGGATCAGAGGACAACATACTGCAGTGCAATCATTCAACCATTGGATTTCATAACTGTAGTCATTCTAATGATGTCAGTGTCCAATGCTTTACAATAGATAATTCCTTCTGCAATACTGAATTTGATAATCAGTTATGGTCTGCAATGAGGTAAGGTTCTAGCTATATATACTTCCCCTATTAAGAATTGAGTACAAATTTAGTCTACTATGGTGATTATGATGTAATATTCACATATGTAATACTATTTGTATTCATTGTAGTGCAAATGGGAGCTGTGAAGCTTATTTCAAAGAAGGATCTTCCACTTCTATCTGTGACCATTTATATGATCCTGATATTGATTATGTTTATATTCCTCACGGGCGCCTCGGAGGATCTCAGCAACTTCTCAGAAAATTTGCTATTCATGCAACTTCATTTCTGATCCAAATACCAATACACTGTCGAGATTTTGCTGTTAGATTAATGTGTACTCATTATTACTTGCCTTGTGGTTCTAATGGCACACTGCATGTTCCATTACCTATATGCTCTAATGTCTGCTCGTACATGTCAGTAACAGTGTGTCCTGAGATCTGGTCTTACGTCATTAATTTTCTTGTGTCGGATCAAGTTTTGCCACAGTATAGATACGATGAAGGAATTAAGTTACCAGTTTGTAATAATACAGCTAAATTGATTGATTACTTGAACCTCACTAGTGACTGTTGTTCTGATGGGGGCATTAAAGTACCTCAACTAACTGAAACAACAACAAAAGGTAAACTATTAGACTATGTAAATGCAAAGGGACTGAACATCTGATCAATGGGAATGATGGCTTGTTTGTAGAGTAGAGTGACCTAATGTTTTCAATTACTGATTTGTGTGTGTTTAACATGTACTTTTGACAATATATTGCATCCTATAGCAATCAATATATCATCCACTACAAGTGCAACACAAACTACTTTTACTATTCAAGCATCAAAAACAGCTACACCTCTGATTACCAGTGGCACATCACCTGCATTGATACCAGGAATAATCAGTATTTTATTACTGTTGTTGGTAGTGTTGGCAATAGTGTTATCTGTTGCTTGTTGCATTAAAAAGAGAAGGAATCATGAACGACTCATGAAGAAAGAAATTCATGATAAACCTAACCCTTCATTAAGTAAGTAAAACTGATAAACAATTTTTGTACAAATATTTTGTTTTACTACTATCTACCATTTACCTTAAAAAGAAACAGTCTATTATGTGTATTGTAAACTATTATATTAGTTTTAGAAAGCAACAAAGAAAATATTTACAACTCCAGCAAAACTATTGAGATATCATCTGAATACATGAATCAGCTGTCAAGCTATATAATATCAGGCTCAAGCATCAGTGTGCAGGAGACTGTTGGACAAGGTTTGTTGTAAAATGATAATTGTAATTATTCTTATACACTATAAGGTGAGTTTGGTATAGTTTATCGTGGAGTGATGACAATAGAGAATCAAATGCCACAACCAGTTGCAGTCAAGACATTAAAAGGTAACTGTTGGAAAAATTTACAAATAAGTTAGATGCTATATTAAAAACTTGTTTATTGCAGGTTTTTACAGTAAGAGTGATATTGATTCTCTACTGGATGAGTGCATTATAATGATGTCATTTGATAATTTAAATGTATTACCACTGATTGGTGTGTGTCTTGATCTTGGACCAGCTCCATACATTATCATGCCTTTCATGTCAAGAGGAAGTTTATTGTCTTACCTCAAGAAAGAGAGACCTAATCTTACAGTAGCTGATACCAGTGAAGAGGATATTATACTGAATGTCAGGAAACAGTTACTCTCCATTTGTTTACAAGTTGGCAATGGAATGTGCTACTTAGCTTCACAAAGATTCATTCATCGTGATTTGGCAGCTAGAAACTGCATGTAAGTCATAATTTGTTTGTGTAAATAAATCAAAGGATGTAAAGCCAGAAACATTGGCACATGTATACAAAGTTGATTGTTTACTAGAGTAAATAATTGTACAAGTGGCCAAATTAAACTGTTTATGCACAAACACATTATTTCATTATAGGATTGATGATGATGGTATCATTAAAGTAGCTGATTTTGGTCTATCAGAAGATATATATTCTCAAAACTATTTCAGACAACTGGAAGGCAGTAAAGATTCATCATCATCACCTGTTAAATTACCATTGAAATGGATGGCATTAGAGAGTATTCATGATGGACTGTTCTCTGAGAAATCTGATGTGGTCAGTACAATTGCAAGAAATAATATGCCCAATATAGATTGTTACATTCTGTTCTTTACAGTGGTCTTATGGTGTGTTATGCTGGGAAGTGTTCAGTCTTGGTAGAGTACCTTATCCTGGTCTAGATCCAGTAGGAGTCGTGGAGTTACTGAATACTGGAGGAAGACTGTACACTCCAAATAATGAAGCATGTTCAAAAGAAATGTATGAAATCACAAACTATTATAAATTTTTATTTTGCAATTAAATTCAGTCTTACTGCTTAATTTTTCCTTATATTATAGATACTCATTGATGACTTCATGTTGGTCTGAGTCTCCTGATGATAGGCCAGTGTTCAGTGATTTAGTATCATCAATCAATACACTCATTGAGCCATTGGCTGGCTATCTGGACTTTACTGACATTAATTTTTGTTTGGAAAATGATATCAAAGTGTAAAAAATATCATGCTTAAAATTATTTTGTAGTTGTGAGCCACACCTCTGGATTGCTTACCATCTTGTTTTTTTTGATACAGTGACTAAAATTGTTTTTTTTTATTTTTATATTTTTTGATACTTACACATGTTCTTTATGTTGTGTTGCAAGTTTAGTTGGTTAATAGAATATTTAAAGAATTTTTAAAGTTGCTTCAAAATTTGGCCAAACTTTATGGCCAGGGTCTTTGACAAACTTTCATGAAAAATGGCTCCAAGACAATTCTTGACATTAACTCTATTTTCTTTTCCTAGTTAACTGCAGTGTTAAGTGTGGTTAATGTACTTTTACACCCACGCATTACAACCAGCCCCACCTTTTAAGAGGCGTGGTCCCTTGTATTGCTAGCTCCAGCATGAACAGATTCCACTCATTTCAGATTCTCAAGAGGTTTTCTAGGCCTCTCTGGTCTGCAAACTGGTCAGTCTCTCGTTGTAGCTCTTCCTCTTCGCCTAACAATGAGAAGCTGCTATCAATGAGTGATATACCTGGTCCTAGAGGCCTACCAATCTTGGGCTCCACGATAGACTACCTGAGGGCACTGGATAAAAGCTACTTACTATTATTCGAGCGAGTCAAGAAATATGGTGGCATATACAAAGAGAAAATGCTTGCTGGGATGCCTTATTCCGTTATAGTGACTGATACTAGTGATATAGAGACTGTGTTTAGAGCTGATGGCAAATACCCAATCAGACCTGATACACCAATGTCCCTTGATATGAGAGATGCCCTTAAGATACCGTATGGACTATTGCTTAGGTATGTATGCTCAAGTTTCTATAAAACACATCTTCATTATAAACGCACACTTTTTTTACTTATTTTAATTGGTAATGTAAATGAATATTTTAAAGTGTTCATTTATATTTTTATTACCATTGTGTAGTTCTAATGAGGAGTGGTATAGACAGCGTCAATCCATCTCACCATTCATGATGGTTCCTCGTAAAGTTGCTGAGCAGCATATCGGGTTTAATGATATTAGTGATGACCTTGTGAGTGCAATCAGGAAAGTGAGATCAAGTGATGCTTCTGTCATTTCTGATGTGCCCAGCCTCCTCTTCAAGTGGTCTTTTGAATGTAAGTTTGAAGAATGAATTCAGTGTTAGCAATATCATGATATTCCATAGCATCAGAACGTACTATTATGAAAATTCTATAGTTATAGATGTATAACTTAGCAAACAATTTTCATTCATAATTTCTATCATTCTTATTTGTAGCTGTCTCTTATACTACTTTGGGCAAAAAGCTAGGATCATTGAATATTGATAATGTTCCCAAGAAATGCCAAGACATGATCGATAACACTCAATTGCTTTTTCAAAAAACACTGGAGGCCATGTTTACCCCACCACTCTACAAGATATACCCTACTAAATTATGGAAGGATTTACTGCGCAGCCAAAAACAAGTTAGTTACTGAGTAACTTTATTTTTCATAATTACTATTATACTGCTATCTTCATTAGGTGTATGATATATCAATGAGTTTTGTTGAAGAGAGAGTAAAAGAGATTGAGTCACAGAGCCAGCAAGTCAATGAAAGTGATGAAGCACCAGAGAAGATGGATTTCCTAACGTACATGCTCCTCTCTAACAAACTCACCAAAGAAGAGATAACTAGTAATGCTGTTGATCTGATGTTTGCTGGAATCGACACTGTAAGTTATGTATAAAGTTATACTTGATGAGATATCATCTTCTACATATAATTGTACTTGATAATAAATCTTTCTATGTTGTAGACTTCCTATACATTGACTTGGACTCTTCATAATCTAGCAACTAACATTGATATACAGGAAAGAGTTAGGGAGGAGTTGCATAGTGTAATGGGATCAGATAACCTAGTGACACCTGAGCACATACAAAAAATGACTATATTGAGAAACTGTGTCAAAGAATCATTGAGGTACATTTGTAATACTTTATACAATTTTAATGTTTTTATTACTTTAGATTGTATCCAACTGTCCCAATGAATATTAGAGCTTTGCAGCAAGATGTGGTACTATCTGGGTATAGTGTACCGGCTGGAGTAAGTAATTGGTTATACTTGCTGTACCTGTAGCTACTATCAATTAATACTACAATTATTTTTTATTTAGACACAAGTACTGATTCCAATTATTGTCATTGCACGAATGGAGAAGTATTTCCCTAACCAGCCCAACTCGTTCATTCCTGATAGATGGAATCGTGAGGGAGAATATCCTAAGAATCCATTTGCTTTCCTACCCTTTGGATTTGGAGCCAGAATGTGTATTGGTAAGCACAAGCAATAGAATATATTGATAAACAAGGTTTATAGGACGAAGAGTTGCTGAGTTGGAGCTGCACATTGCAATTGCTAAAATATTAAAGAACTTCAATGTATCTTATGCAACTGGACCTGATACTAAAATGGACTTTGTCATGAAATTAGTTATAGTCCCTGAGAAACAGTTGGATTTGGTATTTTCAGATATTTAATACTTGATATTCTAATATGTACTACGTATTTTATTTCAGTGATTTTGTCACACACATTGAATTATTGTTATTGTTCTAAAATAGTCATTTTATTAGCAATAGAATAATTGTCCTACATGCTGCATTGCAGTATATCTCAGCTGCATCCAATACTGAGCATGTTGATTATAAGCTATACATGTAGCCTTGTAGCTTTGATGTTTAAGTGCTGTTTCACTTGCTCAACCCCAAGAAGTTTATTTTGTTAAACTAACACGTAATAAAAATTATAATTATGTGATCATCTTTTCCTAAAACATTTTAAGCAACTTTGAATTCTCTTGTAAGCCCATGACATCTTTGGTGGGTTATTATATAAAAGGAGCACTGACTTGCTCTTTAGATATACTGACATTTTGTATTATTGTTTAAAACTTCCACTTCATTACCAACCAAAATGTCTCTGTTTTGGTACAGTATGATGGCAGTTGTTCTTATCATTAATGCTGTCAATGGAAACTGTCCTGAAGATGATGATACTTCGTCATCATTTCCATCTCCAACTTCATCTTCTTTAATTCCGTCACCCACTCCAGGACCTGTTACTTATCAATTTTTTTCTTCTTCAAACACTAGTGTTAATGCTCAACCTGGTATACATGCATGTATCAGTATTATTTTGTTTAATACTTTTCTTCTTTGTAGTGTGTGTAATGCCAGTTGATTGTAAAGCATGGAAGGACTTGGGGATTACTAAGAATGGTGTGTATCCTATAAAACCTGATAATGGAGCAGCTTTTCAAGTAATAGAATTATATTTTGTGGTTTTATTCCCACTCGTGATCATTCCAGGTTTACTGTGATATGGAGACCGATGGTGGTGGATGGATTATATTTCAGAGGAGAAAAGATGGATCTGTTGATTTTAATAGAAATTGGGTTGACTATGAGTATGGGTTTGGCGATCTTGCTGGTGAGTTTTGGTTAGGATTGAGCAAGATTCATCGCCTCACTAAAGAAGGATCAAACACACTAAGAGTGGACCTGGGAGACTTTGATGCAAACACAGCTTATGCAAAATTTTCATCATTCAACATTGGAGGTAGTACTACTAAATATGTCTTGTCTGTTGGAGGGTATTCCGGTACTGCTGGAAATTCATTAATCGATCATAATGGAAGAAAATTTTCTGCAAGAGATAATGACAATGATAACAACTCAGGTAACTGTGCTCGAGATATTTACCCTGGTGGCTGGTGGTTTAACAGTTGCTTTGTGGCACATCTTAATGGTGTTTATCACCAGAATCCATCCATCAGCTATGCAAAGGGCGTTGTCTGGTATAACTGGAAAGGCTGGTATTATTCTCTTAAGTTTACAGAAATGAAAACTCGTGCAAATTGAACATTTTGAAGTGTGTGCTTTTTTGATTTTGGTAGATTTAGTCAGCCTATATATATATACACTAGAAAATGGACATGTTATTTTTAGTTCATGTATATATATATATATATATATATATATTGTTTTTCTTAGAAAAATGTTAGTGTTTTTAATTAAAAAATGATCAATAAATGCATCACTAAACACACCAGTACATTATTACAGACAAATGAATTATAATGGATCTAAAGGGGGTTACCAATACATTTACACAGCAGTCATGCAGTGCTCCAGTAGGTCTATTACAGTCTACTGATATGTCTCTAAATTTTCTGCTTTTACTTATTTTAACTTCAAATTTATTACTTGCTCATAGTAAGCTATAATGCTATGTATAAGATGCCAGTGAACTGCTTAGACCAAACTTAGCTTCCTTCTTGTTTACATGCAGGTTGTATTTTTGGTGACCTAAGATTGGTGAATGGAAATAGGACTAAGACTACCATAGGAAGATTGGAGATTTGCATTAACAATGAATGGGGCACTGTGTGTGATGATGGATGGACTCACACTAATGCTGAAGTGGTCTGCAGGCAACTAGGATACTCTACTATTGGTAAAATGCTAATTGTAATGCGGTTTGAGTCTTTGCTATAACTTCTCCAGGTGCTCAATATTTCAATGAAAAGTATT